AGGACTAGCTGTGAATCAGGACACAGGATCTAAGATTCTGTACTGTGCATTTGAGGAACGTTTGCTAATAGCTGGCCTATATATCGAATAAGCTATTTCTGGAACTGAAATTTAAATACTTGTTAAGGCAGAAGGATCTACTGAAAAGGCCTAAAAACAGCAGTCATATTTCTGTAAGCCATCCAGAGTCACTGAGAGCGAGTGTCAGCCATAAAAATTCTCTAAATAAATAAATAAATAAAAATAAAAAAAATTATTAAAATAGTCTCAATTCTTCTAGAATGGCTCTTTGTGTTCCTATCATTTCATATAATTTTGCCAAACACTCTCAAGATGCAAAAAGCCATATTCAGGTAAGGATGGCAGAGGAACTTCTAACCTAGATTTTTTTTCTTAAGCCTCATACTCTTAATTGAAGACTACTGTAAATCTGGTATGCATCCTGGTGATTATTGACTTACAATCTCAAGTATTTAGGAATGTTAGGAGTTATTTTACAAGCAGGCAAGGAAAACTGGAAGTGTTAAGCAGAACTTGCTAAAAAGAACACTTGAGAATCCTGCTTACAAAAGAATTGCTTTCAGTTTTCAGCATCTGTCAAGGAATTTAAAGCTTTCTTAATAAGCACTTTTACCCTGGCATTTTTTTAAGGCTCCTTACTCACCATTGTGAATTACAGAGCTTTTCTTATCTTGCCCAAACCCTTCTCGGTTACCAACCTATCTCAAAATGCAAAATAATTCACAAGTGATTTTTCTAACAGTCAAGTCTGTTTGAGTCTCCTGTTCTCTCCCCATGGAAATAAGTCACACTACTACAAAGTTTAATATTCAATTATTAAACTTTGGAAAGCCAGCTACAGTGGAAGAGCAGCTCTCAATTACACAAAGATAAATTCTACATTAGGATGTGGGGGAAAACACTGAGACCTGCTGAAAATCCTACCTTCAACCTGTTTTTTTTAATTGGAGGACTGATGCATTTCCTGGCAGACATAGGATTGCATGTTTTTTTCTCTTCTTTTTCTAGAGGGTTGAGAATAAAGTTGCATACTTTAACCGCTGTTTTATACCGAAAAGAAGGCACTTGCAGTAAACTTTGTAATTCCTGAAATGGCCCATGGTTGTTTCTATACTCCATTACATTAAGAGACTTTTTCCCTTGCAATAGTTTAACTGCAGAAAGTTCTTCTTCAGACGCTGAATTGAGGAACTGCAAAATAACAGATTGCTGTTCAGAAGAAAACAAGGTGTCTATTGCATCTTTTGCTTCAGTTCTTGATGGAGAAATCTGTTTCTTGGCACATGTAGATTTCTTACAGTACCAAAGACCTTGAGATGAAGGAAGCAGAACCTGAAGGAAGCATCTCCTTCCTGAAAATGAAAGGTAGATTTCAATCATTCCACTAGCATTAGTAACAACATTAGTTCAAGCATTTACTGATGAAGCCAGGTTCCTAGTTAGAGCTACTAGAAATGCTAAGACACTTTTCTCAGTTCAAATGTGAATACTTCAAAGTATTACTCACATATTCTAAAGATTCTACCAAAGCTAAACCAATTTTTTTCTTCAATTAACTTTATGAGAACAGATTTGCATTTTTTCAGCACTATTGTATTTAGAGCTCTACTAAGTCCTTACTCATCCTCTCTTTTACTATAACAACCCCAAATGTTATTTCCTTGGGAGCATGGGGGAAGGGAAAGTGATCGGCTTTCTACATTCAAGAAAGCTTTTATACACTACCACTGAAATTGATCTACTGTAGACATGCTTTATTAATAATCCACAATTATCTGGATTCATATAAAATACTAAATAAACAGGATTCAGAAATTGATTTCCTATTAGTAAAAAGCCTAGTTTTTTGCCTGAAGATTAGCCTCTAATATTCAACGGAGCAAATTAGCAATTTTCAAATCCATTGAAATCAGTTGGATTTGGATTAATGATAGCAAATTTTGGATGTTAACCTTGTTAATGCTTTTAAGGCTTTTGTATTTATGCTTTTATGCCACTAAGCCACCCACTCACTCAGTGAGACAGGTGGCATGTAAATTTAATAAACTTTCCTTAAAATTATCAGTTTGACTTATTATTTACTTGAATGGATGCTCTGTAAAACAGAAAGAAAAATATCAGCAAGAGGAAATTCAAGATTTGGAAATCTTTAAATTAAAAATCCCTAGTTAAATAGGGTAAAATGTTAACCTACCTGTTGTATGAGTCCAGCTGTTGTTTCTTTAAGCTGTATATGTCGGTGTTATATGTCCCCATTTTTTTAACTCACAATGCTGTGTGAACTCAAAACAGGCCTTATTTAAGGTTTCTAGTTACCCAATTTTGGTTGCAAACCTCAATTGCAGAATCATTTTGCAATTGAGGGACTCGATAAATTACAAAGTGCAAACAGAAAATGTTGAGATATGTTTAGTACATTTACCATGCTTTTTAGTAGATCACATCAGGCAAACGCAACGAAACATAATTTATTGAATAACTACAGTTCAACAAACCACTTAATGTAAAACGTGTGGCTACCAGATACTTTGTCTCTTACCCCAGATATTTAGTAAATGCTTCTAGATCAACAGATGACAACAGTTACTCATTTGCTTGCATAGTTCAGCTTAATTTTATTCAAAAGGTAAAGCTGTGATAACAGAAAGCGATTTAATCTGGTCAACTAAATCTTAAAAGGTGCCAATTTAAAAAATGAAAAAAGGGATATTTTACAAAATGAGTCAAGGTTTGCCTCATCTTTGTTCATACTGAGCATTGTCCAAACGTAGGTAAATCTCAACACCACATGCAAAAAAATACGAATTATATCTGTGCAAATTTCTGGATTGAAAATTAAAACGTGATTGTCAGAAACAGCTTAAAATAGGTGCATCTTTTTCCTGGGCTCTTAAAACTGCCCTTTGCAGCTGATATATGCTCCCAGGTAATGAATTTGGTTTGAGAGATTCGCAAAACATGCTATGTGCACATGTGCTCCAAATCATATTTTGCCCTTTGATCTAGATCTCTGCCCAGCTCTATACTCAAACACTTCAAAATGCATGCAATAGTAAAAGTGAACAGTGTAAGTGATCTAGCTGATTTTGGGGGACCGTTTATCCATCATTACTGATCCTATGAAGGAACAAGCCCCTAGCTTCTTCACAGCAGAGTGAACGTACCAGAGAAAACTGTACTCAAGCAATTTGCTCCATTCTCATTGCTAAATTTTAAAAAATCCTGACCTACTACCTAACATCTGGTTGGAGATAGTCCATGAAGACATGCTGCCAATATACCCGCAGGCCCCACCAACTACATGAATAGAATAGGACTAGGACTAGAGTAGAGTAGAATGGAATAGAAATAGTTTATTGTCACTTTGAATGTACACTATTCGGCATACATTAAAGTGAAATTTTGTTGCACACAACTCTCAAAAGGGTTACCACCTGCAGTATACACTACATAATCTAACAGAATAAATATGCATTTCTTGCCTCCCTTTAGCATCAAAGAGTATTTATTTTTATCCCGCCTTTATTCTTTTTAGAAATAACTCAATGCAGCAAACATACCTAATACTCCTATTTTTCCCCCCCCACAACCATCACCCTGTGAAGTGAGTAGGGTTGAGAGATGAAACTGGCCCAAGGCCACCCAGCAGGGCTTTCACGCCTATGGAGACCAGCACTCCCAACTTTTTAGCCTGATCCCTCAACCACTAGACCAAATACGTTGACGGAGCTTTCTCCAAAGGTGTCCTCCAGTTGTGATGGATTATAAATTGCCCCACGCGGTAAATTGAAAAAAAAAAACCCAACAACCTGGCAGATCTTCATTTGTTTCCTGGGATCGCTGTAATATTTTACAAGCGTGCAATTAACAGGGCAGGTGCTAACCCCGTTTCCTGCACGCAAATGCATGACCGGTGTCACCACCGCTCTTGTCCATCTAACCAACATTACTTAGAATTCCAGGGTTGCAGCAAAGGGACAAAATGTTATTTTCCCGATCGCTCCAGCTCGGCGACACTCGCTTTCCCGCTTTCAAAGGCCAAACCCTCTGCAAACTCCCTTGTCCCTCCGCCACCAACGCCTGCAAAAGCGGCCGCTCGGAGGGCAGCCGCTTCCCCAACGCCGCCTCCTTACCGCCCCAGAAGAGCCCGGGAAGGCGCTTCAGACTCATCCTCGCCGTCTTCTAACCGGCGCCACGCGTTTTTTCCTCCTCTCCCCCGTATCCTGTTTGCCCGGTTCCCCTATAGCAAAGTACCGGCTGCACTTTAAAGTTCACGTGGATAGTTCCGGCCCCAGTGAGAAAAGGCTCCTTTGCGTGCCCGGAGGTTTTGCAATCTCTCTCTCTCTCTCTGCCAGATTGTTATGAGGAAGGGGCAACGCAAATCTCTCGAAAGAGGGACTTCGGAGCAAAGGCTCTAAGGAAAGCAACTCTTCCTTCACCCCCCTCCCCCTTCCTCCAGTCGTTAAATCGCTAGGAAAGAAGGAGGCGAGACGGCCCGGAGTAACTTGAGAAGCCTGGCTAAAGACACGGTTCCTTGGACAATGTAACAAGAGGACGTGTTCTTGGGTCCTTCCACACTTTATCTCATGTTTCTGAGGACCGGGACTCGTGCACTCTTAGTAGCAGCTTCTTGGATGAGAAGGGAGATGTCTTCAAAGAAAGGAAAACCAGAAAGTCCAGTTTCCTCTTGAAAAACCACCTTTGGGACTTGCCAGGAAAATTGCAGGGATCATCAGACCAGGAGTCAAAAACTGGCCAGAAAGAAGGCGGCAGGCAGGCAGGAATGCAGGGAAGGTCCTTGTCTTCTATCTCGGCGACAACCATAGTTTTACGCGGTATTAAATGGACACGCAAAACAGCATGGCAGGAGGGAGAAGAATAACGCGAGCCGCGCGTCCTTTCGGTTCTGTTTGGAGCCAGCCGGGGTGACTTCAGCCTGAGCTGCCGGTTTTTGTTTTGTTTCTCGCACCGCTCCGCCCTCCGGGAAAAGCGGCCCAGCGGGCGTGGCCATCACGGGATGAGTAAACTCCGTGGCCCCGGGGCGCCGTCGGCGAAGGATATAGCCATGGCTTCTGCTGTCCAGGAGCCGACGATGCCCGTGTGGCTGACGGCGGAGGAACTGCAGTGCTCCATCTGCCTGGATCTGCTCAGCAACCCGGCCACCGTGGAGTGCGGCCACAGCTTCTGCCTGGGCTGCATCCGAAAATGGCTGAAGGGCCAGCACGAATGTCCCAACTGCAAGCGCCGTGTGGACCAGAAGTTGCCCGAGCGCACCGTCTTGCTGAACTTGATCTTGGAAAAGTATAACTGCCTAGCTTCCAACGACCCGCTTCCCACGGGGACCTCGCGTCTGGCGGAGCCGGGCTTCCCAGACGGGGCGAGACGCAAGCGGGACTTCTCCCTTGCCAGGCAAGGTTTTCAGGTGAGAAGGAAAGGTCTCTTGGCGTGGTCTAAAATCGGGGTCTAGCCGTGATTCTTCAAGGGGTTGACCAGCTGGGTGGCTTTCATTTTCTGTCCTGTCGGTGTTATTCTGAGCTTCTAGACAAGCCAGTCTCTCCCTTCTATCTGCAGTATGAAATGCAGATTTAGATTGCTTGGGAAAGAGTTATTACGTCTGTGACACATTTTAAATTTCTCAGTGGATGTATAGGCGTGTATATGTTTAAGTATATACAGATGCACTCTAAGGAAACAGCTTGCCGTTGATAGGATGGGCATTTTTGGATAAAGGAAGGGTAACTCCGATACTCTAATGCAGGGGTCTCCAAACTTGGCAACTTTAAGACTTGTGGACTTCAACTCCCAGAATTCCTCAGCCAGCTTTAAATTGCCAAGTTTTAGAGACCCCTGCTCTAATAGATTTGTTGCATTAGCCAGTGTGAGCCTTGGAACTTTAGTAGTGTCTAAACTCGAAAGCTTAAAGCTATGTGTAAATAGCCTTTCCTAGCCTTTATCTTTCAGGATGGAAAACTGCTTCCATCCTCTCCAGCTATCCTACTTCTGGAAAGAGTCAGTTTCTTAGGTGTGATCTAGAGGCAGACATACAGTACAACTCCCCAGGGACTGCTCTGGATATCCCATTCAGGGCTTAAATTTGAACCAGGGATCTTCTGCATTGATGACCTCTGAAGTATGTTTGAAAGCCTTCTTCCTTGGTAAACAAATAATCAAAAAGCAAACAACTGGTTTCTCCCATCTGTCTTCTGCTTACCAACCAGCTACTTGCTTCCAGCTTTTTCTCCAATTGTTTATGTCTTCTTTCATGGCTTTGAAGTATCAGCTGTCAAAATTGTATTTGATTTGGGCCCTTTTAAAGAGATTTATTTATGATGCAATAAAGTATTTAGCTCTGAGGAATTCAAATACTTTAGCTGGATATATGTGTGAAAATTGTGTGCCGTGTTTTCTTAAAAGTTATATTTGATCTAAGGACCTAGAATCAGTAGAACATTTTCAGCATTTTTGCCGTAAGTCCTTACATTCTGCAACATTTGTGCAATCATTTCTGCAGTGTTTGTACTATAATAGAATGCAAATTATTCTTTATGAGACAGTGGATCACCACATGATATGTTATAATCAAGAGTTAGGGTTAGTGGACTTCCGGCTTGCTTCTTGCGGCTCGAAAAACTCCATTTCCAGGAGGAAATGTGAGATAGAGCAGGTGAGTGTAGGTAGAGCTTTCTGCGAAGCCCCCAGAGTTTTTTTTTTACTCTTGGGGGCGAGTGGATGAGGCTCCCTATATCACTCGCCGTTCGCTCCGGGCGTTGGGAGACCTCTGCTTTTTTGCAGAGCAAGGCGACGAACACAAGCTTTTCAAGAAAACTAACAGACTAAGTAAAGAGGATGAGATTTGGACCTGGACCTGTGACCCTAAATTGCAAGTATTTATACTTATTTTGCAAAGGATATTGAACAAAGTAAAAAAGAACTTTTAAAATGGCGACTGCCGAAGTTTGAGCAGGGAAGCTGAAAAGGGAAAGTCCTTCCGTTTCTTATTAAGCCACAAAGTAGCGGAATAAATACTCCTGGCTACAATTGAAGTAAAAGCTCCACTCTTGTGCTTTCTCTTTCCTGGAGATTTGATATTGATCTTGTTTGGAAAGAAGCTTTTTTCTCTTTCTTTGTTTTTCTTTTCTTTTTTAAGAGAGTTTGTCTGTGTGGAAATATGGCGTTCAGACTTACAAAGCCAGACAAACAAGCAGTGGGGGGGGGGGATTCCCCCATCTATAAATTACATGAACAAGTTCTAAACCTACAGACTCAGAAAACTGATTTTAATATAATTGAATTTCTCTTGGAGGAGATTGTAAGAAGGGATGAGATTGTGAATCAGAACTTTGAAAAATTTAAGCAGGAAATTAAAGAAATGGTGCAATTAAAGTTTGATATTTTGCAACGAAAGATTGCAAAAGTGACTAATGGTTTTTCAGAAATTGTTATGAAGTTGGGTACAAATATTGACTTATTAGAGTCTAAAATGGAGGAAATTGAGGATAATTTGGACAATAAAATACAAAGAACTGAAAATGATTTGATAAATACTCAAGATAATAGCTTAGAAGAAAAACTTAAAATGGAAGCTGATCATAAGACTTGTAATGCAGAAAATATAAAACAACGGATTGAAAAAGAAGTTTTAATGATGCAATATAATCTCACAGAATATGCGATTAGACTGAGAGGATTACAGGAAAACAACAGAGATGATTTAAGGAAAATATCTTCTGAAATTCTGGCTGGGATCTTAAAGGTTCATCCTGAGGAAGTATTTTGTAGGATTGACAGAGTTTATAGAATAAACTCCTGGATTGCAAAGCAAAGGCAATTGCCAAGAGATGTGATTTATTTTACAGACAAAGAAATAAGAAATAATATTGTGCAAAAATCTTTTAATTCTACTCTGCATTTGTTTGGAAGAAAGATTTGGATATACAAAGAGCTACCACCTAAGATGTTATTGGAAAGAAAGAAATTTGGTTTTCTGGTGACTGAGCTTAAAAAGCGAAATATTCTATTTAGGTGGGATACTCCAGTTGGTATAATATTGAGATATCAAGGAGTAAGATATCAATTAAATACTGTTGAAAAAGCGGAAGAATTTTACCAAAAAATTTTGAAAATGAGTTCAATATTTTTATGCACAACACAAGATAAGCAGAAGGAGTTGGAAATAAAGGAAAAATATCGAGCTACAGAGGCCTCTGTAGATGAATCGCCTTTGGATTCTTTAGATACCTCAGCTGGATTATCCATAAATAAAAGAGATGTGGCATTGGATTCTAATGTGATGATTCATCAAGTCACAGACAAGCATGGAAATCAATTAGTTGATACACAACTTATAGAAAAGAAATATGAGTCACAAAAGCAAAACCAACAAGATCAAGTTATAAATCAGAATGAAAACCGATTAGTCGATATACAACTCGTAGAAAGGAGATTAGGATGGAGATCAAACCCATAACAAGTCAAGAAAAAAAGAAATAGATCTTGCAAAAACAAAAATTTCTAAATTAGGCAACAGTGAAGCCAGTTATTTAAAAGATGACTGAATACATGAAAAGATAGTTGAGGCGAAGTATTGGTCAATATTATCCTGAGGAGAGTGACAGACCTCTGCAATGCTGTAATTTTGGGATGTGAAAAGGGCCTTAAATTGTTGGATTGGAATTATCCATTTTGGACTTTTTTTTTTTTTGGACAAATATTCTTATAGCTTATCCTGAGCTATATGGCAAGAGAGCTATGCTGGGGCATGCAGAAGATCTGGTTGTTACCCCATTATGATGGTGGGAATTAATAATCCTGAAGAAATCCACTATTACAGATATTGTATGGAATACAATTATAATGTCACTCGGGTGGTTGTTTTCCTTTTTTATATACATGAAGATATTTATTATTATTTTTTTTTATTGAAAAAGTTTTAAAATACAAATTTTCCCCCCTTTTTTCTCCCCTCCCCCTCCCTAACCCCCCCTCCCCACCCATCCCCCCCTGTGACTTCTTCATAACCAAAAACCTAATTCATAACAGATTACTTACTCCCACCTCTAAATACTGACCTTTACTTACTAGAAATATTATTAATATTATAACATCCCCCTTTAGCCCTACATTTCAAGAAAGAAATAAAAACATTATACTATAACATTGTATAATAACTTCTAATTTAGCATAGTATTATTATAACTCCCAATTTGGCAATAATCTGCCCTTTTTCTCCTCTCCCAAACTTATATCTATATATTATTACAACAATTCAAAACCACCTTCCACTTTAAAACTATACAATAAATCCTACTTTAGCATTTAATCTTTTATATATATTAATATAACATTTCAAAGCGGCCTTCCCCATAAAACCTAATTTAACATTTATTCAACTCTATCCATTTCCTCCACTCCCCTAAATATATCACTTAAACATCCCTTTTCTTAAACTAATCAGTCTGTAAATTAGCTTATTCACCCACGTTCCTGCAAAATTGCCGTGCACAACAATTCTTAATATCTTTGATTCACTGCCCACTCTGCTTAAATATATATATATATATATATATACGTATATATTCCATTATGTCTAAATAGAAAAGAAAAGACAATGACTTTAAATTTATAGTCCATATAATATCTTCTTTGAAGTCTTTCCACTGGATTATTAAAACCATCATCCATAATAGGGTAACATAGCTTCCTGATGCAACAGTTTGTTCAAAATCTTCAATCATATCTGCCCCCATCAGTAGTAGATATCCTCATATGTATATAAAAGTAAAAACAACCACCCGAGTGACATTATAATTATATTCCATATAGTTGTAATTGTGGCTTTCATCAGGATTTTTGATTCCCATCATCCTAGTGGGTAACAGCCAGATCTTCTGCATGCCCCAATGTAACTCTCTTGCCTTATAACTCAAGATAGTTATAATATATTTATCGATACAAAAAAAAAAAAAATCCAAAGTAGATAGTTCAAATCCAACAGTTTAAGGCTCTTTTCACATCCCAGAATTACGGCAATGCAGAGGTCTGTCACTGTCCTCAGGATAATATTGACCAATACTTCGCCTCAGCTATCTTTTCACATATTCCTTCATTTTTTAAAGTCACTGGCTTCACTGTTGCTTGATTTAGAAATTTCTATTTTTGTGCGACCTATTTCTTTTTTTCTTTTCTTTTGTGGGTTTGATTTCCATCCTGGTTTCCTTTCTACAGGTTGTGTATCAACTAATCGGTTTTCATTCTGCTTTATAAGTTGATCTTGTTGGTTTTGTTTTTGTATCTCATGTTTCTTTTTTGCCCCTTGTATATCATCTAATTGGTTTCCATACTTGTCTTTGACTTGATATTTATTATTGATGGGGGCAGATGATAACTGAGGATTTTGAACATTCTGTTGCAATCAGGATGCTATGTTACCCTAATATGGGCGATGGAGTTAACAATCCAGTGGAGAGACATCAAAGAAGATATTATATTATATGGATTATAAGTTTAAAGTCATTGATTTTATCTATAAAAGGGAATACTTTTTTTTTAGTAGGGTGGGCAGAAGAATAAAGATATTAAGAATTGTTATGTATGGTAATTTTGTAGGAAAGTGGGTGGAGACAGGTTAGTTTATTGATTGTCTAGTTTAAGAAAGGGGATGCTTAGGAGATACATTTGTGGGAGTGGAGGAAATGGATAGAGCTGAATAAATGTTAAATTAGGATTTATTATATAGTTTTTTAGGGGAAGGCTGCTTTGAAATGTTATATTAATATACATTAAAGATTAAATGGTAAAATAGGATTTATTATATAGTCTTAAAGTGGAAGGTTGTTTTGAAATGTTATATTAATATATAGATATATGTATGGGGGAGGAGAAAAAGGGCAGATTTTTGCTAAATTGGGAGTTATAATAATGTTATTATGCTAAACCAGAAGTTGTTACGCAATGTTACAGTAGAATGTTGTTTTGAAATGTATGGTAAAAGGGGGATGTAATAATATTATTAGAAAGAAAGGGTCCGTATTTGAGGAATGGAGTAAGGGGATGGTAAAATATTATATAATCTGTTACGAATTTGGATTTTATTTTGAAGAAGTCACGGGGATGGGTGGTGAGGGGGGGTTAGGGAGGAGGGGGGGAGAAAAAAAGGGGGAAAAATTTGTATTTGAAAAACTTTTTCAATAAAAAAAAAAAGTTAGGGTTAGTAACAGAGGGTCAGTGACACAAAGCCCTGCATCAGGTGTGGAGTAGGTGTGATAAATGGTTTCTCACTGTGTCAGGGCTGTAAGTATGTAAACGAGATGGTCAAGGCCTGGCAAAAAAACAAAGGATTTTTCAGGTTGAGTTCCACCATCTGGTTGCAATTGATCCACTCTGAACTTTCCAATTAGAGACATTTTAGGATTAGGTATATCCATCTGCAGCATGGTGAATATGGATGACTACATTGACCAGCTGTTGGCTGAAATGATAACATGAGACATCTTGGATGAGCCCCCCCACTTCCAGGAGCAATCAAGCCACTATTTATTTATTTAGCATATGGCAAATACATGGACATTTAGTAGTTCAAATGTTAATATCAGACATTGGGCCGGTGTAAGCTCTTGATGGATATTTGGACACAATGTGGTGGATATTTTGTCGAGAAGCACCACAGTCACACTGAGGGTAGAGACAAGATCCCACTTCAGTCGATGAACACAGCTGTGGTTATTAAGCCTTACTGGAAACCAGCTTCAATATGCCCTTTTATCAGTTTTGTTTATCCATTGCCATGTATTTAGAGAGCCAGGAATTCTACAAAGATGTCTGGCTGCCAACTGTCGTTAACTGCCAATTCTTCAGTGTAGTCTGGCTGCCAGTTGTTACTAGTCGTTTGGTTTACACTACCGTGCTATCCAGGGTGCACCACGAGGAGGCGAACTAGCATCATACCCCATCAAGCCACTGCTTCTGAGGAAATACTGGCCTTCTGCTCCTCCATGTATGAAGAAGGAGAGGAGAAGGAAGGCCATTCAAGAGGTGTTTGACTCACAACCCCCACTCCCCAAACCCAGGTGTATCAGAAGGAGATCCTAGATCTGTTCAATCTGGAACAAAAACAAAAGAAGACAAGCAAGTTTGTCTTCAGGCATATGCAATGGGTAATAGGGAACTACCTGTGGGGTTGGCAGATGGATGTCTAGCAAGGCCACCCGTTCAATGTAGACCAGTGGTTCCCAACGTGGGGCCCACGTCCTACAGGGGGGCAATTTGATTTTTAATGGGGGAAATTCAAAAATGAGCTATTAACTGCATTTTTGAAAGCCCGCTAATTGTTCTTATATATTTGTGATGAAACAGCTGTTTCATTTACCTATTGTTGTCTTTGTTAAAGTGCATTTCCTAGGTGCCTGGTTTGAAAAAGATATCCCAACTGGGGGCAGGAGGGAGCAACTGCCAGCCGATCACATGTGTTCCCACTAAGGATCATGGGACTGGCAGAGTCTCTCTCTCTCTCTCTTTCCTGCGGGCTTTGCTGCTGGGTGGTTGCAGGGAGAGCTGCTCTGTGGGGAGACAGAGTGGATGGCTGCTGCGGGAAGCCCAGCAGTGAGGATACAGAACCAGGACCCAAGTTTAAATAAGAAATTGTTAGATTTACAATCATTTTTAGTCTGTGTTTTTCCAGGCCGTGTTTTACAAGACTTTTCCTCTCAGAGCAATCTGGGGCTGGGCCACGCATGTGTAGGCCTCGCCAGGCCTGTGTGATTCACCTCCACCTACTGAACTACCAAAGCATTTCCCCACTAAGCTGCAGGTTCAAACCGAGTGGGCAAGTAGGGGGGTCATAGGTTACAATCCCCCTTCCATTCATGACAAAGCTGACTAAATTGGAGCCCAATATAAAATCTCTCTGCAGCAGGCATCACGCACAAGGATCTCATTAACTTAATCCTACAATCCTACATTTTCCCAGGAGTAAGCCCTATTGAAGAAATTGGTACTGTCACGGGGGGGGGGGGGAATCAGGATTTTAGAGATGCTTAGGTGGGGCATGGCCAAAAAAAAAGGTTGGGAACCCAAGAACAGTTAGTTTACTTGAAGGGTGTGTATTCGCAGATCTGCCAGAAATTCACAGAAGAAATGCAGGCTCTCAGAGGAGTCAAATTCCAGCTGACACTAAAGGTTGCCCTCCAGAAAAACAGCCCTGATGGCACGGAGGAGTTACCCAGATCCTGTGTTTCATCACAAGCGGGAGGCTTGTCCTGCAGAGCAGTGAGATCAATGTGGCACTAGACAAGGCATTCCCCTCATTATTCAGGAGATGCTTGAGAAATGGACCAGTGGGTTTCAAAATTTGTTACTACCGGTTCTGTGGGTGTGGCTTGGTGGGTGGGTGTGGCATGGCTTGGTGGGCATGACTAGGTGGGCGTGGCAGGGGAAGAATACTGTAAAATCTCCATTCCACCCCACTCCAGGGGAAGGTTACTGCAAAATCCCCATTTCCTACCGATCAGCTGGGACTTGGGAGGCAGAGAATAGATGGCAGTGGGGCCAGTCAGAAGTGCTATTTACCGGTTCTCCGAACTACTCAAAATTTCCGCTACTGGTTCTCCAGAACTAGTCAGAACCTACTGAAACCCACCTCTGAAATGGACCCAGAGAGACTCGGGCTAGTAGTTGAAAGAATGCAGACACTCTGGCTGGACATTGCCCAGTATTTATTTCTGTTTCTCTTTCTGTTACTAGTTTCTTCCTTTTGGCATTCCCTGAACTGCTTTTTCTGCATTTCCTAGAAGAACAGTCATTAAAAGAAGAGAGACAGTTGTGAGCTGACTAGTTTCACTTTTCAGAAGCAACATAGAAAGAGGCAGAGATGCCAGCTGAAGCAACCTACTTGCTCTTGGCGGATCTCAGAAAACTCAGCAGGGGCTGAGCCTAGTTAGTATATGGGTAGGAAACTGTCGCAACAGACTAGGAATTGAAATCATTTCTGGAGGAAGGATGTGCCCAGAAACTACATAGATGTGATTGTGAAGTCAGCAAGAGCTGAGTTTGAGTCAAACTTGGGAGTTTGATCCAAAAAAAATACTACTTATTTTTAAGCAGTAATGGGAATGCTGGATTGTGAGAGGAGTTGGTTTAGCTCTCAAACTGTTGAAACTCTTTGTTGGAATTGTAAAGGGAAAAAATTAAATGTTGAAAACGTTCAGATTTCTGTATAGAGGTCTTTCATCAGCAATAGTCTCTTTTCTGATTTTAGGAGTATATGTTTCAAACCAGAAGCTCTATTTCAGAAGCTTTCAGTTTTATGAAAAAGTGCATTTGTGATCAAGAGGAAATGGTGCTAAGGATCATTGAAGAAGAATGGAAAGTGGCTCGACAAATAAGAGACTCCACTGACAAGCAGCTCAATGGAAAAATTCACAACATTTTGGATTTGCAGAATAAATTTGAAGAAGTGATGATGGTAAATCATTGCATTAATGGTACCATAAAGATCTATTTTATTTATTAAATGTACCCTATTTACATGGCTGCTCATCTTACAAAACTGTGTAAACATATTTAAAACACTGAAAGTCCTAGAACTATTTCTGAACAAACAAGAGTAGGAGTGGGGTGCTAATGTGCTTTGGTGGACCTTCCATTGCAGAATAGGTTGATTTTTAGTTATTAAATTTGATGATCCTAAAAATATAATTTGGAAGGCATTCTGACTGCTATTAATGGACAGACATGTCATGATTTCAAACAATAGATACCTGTATGTATCAGTGGTGAAATGTAAAATTTGTTACTACCAGTTCTGTCGGCGTGGCTTGGTGAGGGGGGTAATGTGACTGGGTGGACGTGACCAACTTTTTTTTTTTTACTTTTAAAAGCATTTTTTCTACAACCACTTCAAAGAGGTTGTAGAAAAAATGCTTTTAAAAGCCTTTGATGATCCCAGCTGGGCTGCGCATCAGAGGCTTTTTTTTTTTACTTTTAAAAACATTTTTTCAGCTGAAGAAAAAATGCTTTTAAAAGTAAAAAAAAAAAACCCTCTGATGATCGCGTGGCTCAGCTGGGCATGTGGGGTGGGCAGGGATTTTTGCTACTGGTTCTCCAAACCACCCGCCGTCATCGCTACCGGATCGGGTGATCCGGTCCGAACCGGGAGCATTTCACACCTGGTATCTATAGAAGTATATAGTTATACTACAGTATTGGGTTGACTCCTCAGTATAGTATTCTAGGGGTGTTTTTTCCCTCCAGCCCTACCCAGAGTTCTGAATTCTCTGTACTATAGATTACAGATTGTTACCAGTGCTGCTTCTCCTCTTTTCTTTTCTTTTTTTGCTGACTTCTGAGTATATGCAACAAATACAGTATTAAAATCTCCTTTTCTCCATGCTGCAAGTATTGACTTATGGCAATTCAGGCAGTCCCAATTGCTGTTTTTAGGTGAATCCTATGTAGTCATTAGGTGTGATGTTATGCTATCACATTTTTGACCTCCTGCTGGCTTCCCCATTGACTTGTTGGAAGCCAGCAATGAAGGTTAGAAATGACATTAGGTGATTGAAGGATGCTGCAACATCATAATTGCTAGCAGTTGCCAAGGCCCAAATTGCTGGTATGTGAGAATGACCTTGGGAGATTTGTACTATCAAACTTCAAGACTGATGTCAGCCTTCCCAGATAGATCAGAAAAAGAAGTACGATCAGGTGATCTAGTTCTACTTTATTCTCACTACTTTAGCAGACATTTTTAGGGATAGCTCCATAATACAGCCCACAGAAGTGATCAAGATCAATTCGAACTGTCACTAAGTCCAACTAACTGAGGGAGTTGCTACATTACTTGTCAAAAGTTTACAACACTCATAATCTGCAAACCCAACTAGCAGATGTGATGTTCCAGGAGTACTGCCAAACTGCAAAGCTGCTCTCACTAGAGGAGTGCAACTCCATCTAAAACATGGTTAACTTGAAACTCAAAATCCAACCCTTTCCTTGTCTACAGAACCTCCATCTTCTCGGGAAATAATTTCATTTTTTCTCCCTCATCTGCTCTATTATTAGTTGGTTAGTCTAGTGGTTAAAGCATCAGGCTAGAAACCAGGAAACTGAGTTTTGGGTTCAACGTTGACTGTGTGACTTGGGCCAGTCACTCTCACTCAGCCCACAACGTTGGATTCTGGTGACAAGCCAGTCGGTCGGTTTCTGTCGCAACCAATCGATCAACACTTGATCCAAAAAAAAACAAAAACAAAAACCCAACCAGCAGACTTCTTGCAGGGAAACACTGGGAAGAAAAATGGTTCTATTATTCAGATTCTAATTACAGAATTGAGAGAAATGCTTACTGAAATCTTGCTGGTGCCTTGTTTAATTCTTGATTTATTTTTTAATTGTTAGAAAACTTCATCAGGACAAGAAGCTTATATTGGCGATCCCATTCAGAAGATCAGCAATATTGCCAGTGCTGTTGAAGAGTTAAGGAGACAACTGGAAGCAGCAGTTTTGAGGAATTTCCCAGCGCAGCCATCTCAGAGTTGGTGGAATTTTCATTCCCCTCTTACATTAAGAGTAAACATGTGCTGACTTATTACAAAGCTTTGAATATCACTAGGGAAATAAAACCACTATGGTCTGGCATAGTTAGTCTAATCTGATGATAAACATGAGAAAGATGGCATCATTGGATCAGATCTTACTATGACTGGTGTTCTGTAGCTACCAAATTCTCCTGGGTAGTGAATAAGTAGGGTGTGATGGAAATAAAATCATAGGGCTGGAAGGGATCCTTGGAGGTCTTTGCTTTTGGTTATTGAATCTTATTTTGTTCCTTCCTCTGATCCTTTATATCCATGGTTATTACCTTTTAGCAGACCTCACCCATTAGCATCCCTAAAGTGTGTTCTTTGTTGTTTGGCAGGCTTTTTTTCTAGCTTTGTCAGTATGTTGAACTCACTGGCAATATGGATATGGAATCTCTTTGATAGAGTTTTGCTTCTCTTTATGGTCAAGTTGATTATTACAGTAGATGTCTATGGAGAATCTCAGTCATCCAGGTCATGGTTGTCCCAAAGGTGCTTTTTCAAAAGGCAACTGGACTTTCTTTTTCTTTGAAGACGTTTCGCTTCTCATCCAAGAAGCTTCTTCAGCTCTGACTGGATGGTGGAGAATGGAAGGATTTATATTCCTTACAGACAGCTGGTCATTTGCATCCTTTTAGCGAGTTGTTAAGGTCAGAAACAGCTTCAAAGAAAAATCAGAAAGTCCAGTTGCCTCTTGGAAAAGCACCTTTGGGACATTATTACTTGTAGGTACTAGAAACTTTATAAATAAAAGAACTTTGCTGTTTAGTAATGTCTATTATGATACACAAGCTTTTTAAAAAATCTTATGTTTTAAAGAAATATATCCTATAAGAAAAATGTATTTAAATTTCAATTGATCAGTGAGAGGTCAGCACAGGTTTGATCCGATTGCCAGCTGTAGACTTTATACTCAGCATGTGGAGGTCCTGGCCTATATAGTATACTCAGTTTGAGGAATTCCAGTGAGACAAATCATCATTGCATGATGCCTTCTTTTTTGCTGAATGCTTTTCAATATCTTATCCTTGCAATAGGAATTAGCAGCTGCCAAGTTTAGACGTGAATTTGTCTCCTTAAGCAATAGTAGCCATATCTCCAAAACTTTCTTTTTTTAGGTAGAATAAGTAGCTGTGGATGCTATTGAACCACAAGTCCCTTCATTCCTTGCCATTGGCTGTGGATAACAGGTGTTGTTCTTGTGCAATCTGTGGACAGCCATTAGTTCCCTCATTCAGTTTGAATCGAAAACATATGGGTGGTCCCATTTCCTGTGAAAATGGCCTTTCTCTGAAATGAAGTGCTGATCAAAGTGATATGGGAACCTCCTAAAATGGATCAGGGAGAATTTCTTAAGCTGAGATTGAAGCTGAAACATAACAGCAATAGCACTTAGACTTATATACCGCTTTATAGTGCTTTACAGCCCTCTCTAAGCAGTTTATAGAGTCAGCCTATTGCCCCCAACAATCTGTGTCCTCATTTTACTGACTTTGGAAGGATGGAAGGCTGAGTCAACCTTGAGCCTGGTGAGATTCAATCTGCCAAATTGCAGTTAGTTGGAAGTCAGCAGAAGTAGCCTGCAGTACTGCACTCTAACCATTGTGCCACCGCGGCTCTTAAAAGCAGCTACTTGTGTTCTGCCATGCAAATTTCAGTGGCTTAACAGCCTGGATTTTTTTTTGTTTGTTTACTGTAGAGCCTTCTCCAGGAACCAGCAACAATAGTGAAGCTGCAGCTGATGGAGCAGAAGAAATGTTCCTTTCCAGTGATTCCTGTAGGTAGTTTATTAACTTTAACTGATTTTTGGGGAGATCATAGTCATTATTCCATTAGGGAATCATTTTCCACATTCCGCTGTTTATCCATGTTGTTCTGATGTTGTGACTGTTAGATGTTTTTGCACCAGCCATGGCAGTTTCTTAAAAGGCCACCAGATGGGAGCGAAGAGTCACCTTTGATCCCACTGGTGGGTCAGGGGGCTCCGGCCTCTGCAGCCCCATTGGGGAGAGTTAATGACCCTCCGTCCCCCTCACATTGGTAAGGGAGGGGTCAGGGGCCCCCATAAGAACCCCTGCGCAGGGGCTGCCTTCTAGCTTTTGTTCTAGCTCCCTTCGGGACTAATCCAAGGGCTCAGTCCAGGCATGGATGCCTCCATGCCAGGGAACTCATTTTCTCTGCTTTATCCTTAAATAAAGCTTCAACTGATTGCATCCCTGCGTGCTGCCTCTTTCTTGGAAGCGCCTCAACGAACCATCGACCTTGTGAGGGCTCTCACAATGACATTCCTGGTTTGATTGAGCAAAACAAAAACACTTGCTAGATGGAATCTTTTTTTAAGGGTACAAATTGTTACAGATTAAAGCACAAGTGCTGAAATGAACAAATTAACTTTAAAATTAAATTTATTTATTTATTTATTTATTGTTCAAATTTATATACCGCCCTTCTCCCGAAGGACTCAGGGCGGTGAACAGCCAAAGATAAAAATACATAGAATACAAAATTTAAAAATAGTTTAAAACAAGTTAAATAGTATTGGCCCACGACAATTAAAACACCCCCAATTTAAAATCAAATTAAGAACAAAATTACTCAATTAAAAGAGTTAGGCCAGCCCGGCTTGTTGGAATAGAAAGGTCTTGAGGGCGCGGCGGAAGGTGCGTACATCTGGAATCCTCCTTATCTCCGGGGGCAATTCGTTCCATAGGGCAGGTGGCCCCACAGAGAAGGCTCTCCCCCTAGGGGCTGCCAGCTGACACTGTTTGACCAACGGCACTCCGAGGAGCCCCTCTCTGTGGGAGCGTACTGGCCGGCGGGAGGCTCTTGGTGGCAGAAGGCGGTCTCGAAGATACCCGGGTCCTAAGCCATGGAGTGCTCTAAAGGTGGTAACCAGCACCTTGAATCGCACCCAGAAGACCACCGGAAGCCAGTGCAGCTCACGCTGCTGCATCTGGACCAAATGAGAAAGAAGATTCAGAATATTATACGGTGTGGGATGATTGGTACAGGTGGATTGATAATAGAATAAAGAATAGATAAAAGTTAATATAAATCTTAAGATGCATATGTAAATATTATGATGAAAAGTAAAAGAAGAATCAATCTAACCTATGTAGAAAAATAACACTGTCTGACTGATTGTACTGTATTGTATTATAATAAATTTCAATAAAATTTTAAAAAAGAAAAAAAACATCATTTAGATCAGTGATGTCAAACTTATGACACTGATGTCACAGGTGACATGCCATGTCATTTATGGTAACAGGTCAGGCCTCTATAGTCAAGGGGTGTCAAACTGGTGGCCCGTGCGCCGCATGTGTCACGTGCAGGCCATGCCCATCCCAGCTCCATGAAGGCAAAAAATGTCACAATACATCATGTAACTTCAACGTGATGTAGTGAGTTTGACACCTGTGCTTTGGACCCTCTGAAAGTTGCACTAGAAGACTACTCTTGCGCAGCCCCTGAGGCATCTGAAAATTGCACAATCATTCTCGCAAAATTTTCAGAGGCTCCAGAAAATGCATGTATTCCAGAGAGTCTAGAGTAGAGGAAGTCCATAGAGGCCTCTCTTGTCCAGGATGGTGTGTGTGTGTGTGAGAGAGAGAGATGCTACCAGAGTCAAGGTAGGCATTTTCTGAATTTTTGGATACACCAAATCTAAAAGGTTCACCATCACTGATCTAGATTATTCCTGCTCATGTAAAGGAAAACAAGGAGCCTGAGTGGTGTAGGAGGCTAATGCCTCCTACTAAGGCAGCATTTAACATCCAGCTGCCTGCAATTACTGTGAGTTCAATTCTCACCAGGCTCAGGGTCGACTCAGCCTTCCATCCTTTCTAAGGTAGGTAAATTGAGGACTCAGTTTGTGGGGGCAATAAGCTGACTTTGTAAAAATATACAAAAGTATGAAGGCTATTGCTTAACGCACTGTAAGCCGTCCTGAGTCTCTGGAGAAGGGCGGCATATAAATAATCATAATAAAAAAAGTGTTGTTGTTGTTTTAATTTTCTAAGGCTGCCTGTGGGATCCATGTGATATTGAGTGCTGTTCTTGGAAATTAAAATGATACTAGAGACTGACACTTAGCAGGATGCCAGTTTCTCATTTAATTTTATTGTAATTAAAATAGAGAATTGTCACCTATGCCAAGGGCAGTGACTATGGCTAGCATGTTGTCTGCTTCTATTTAAGTTAATATGAGTTGCAAAATATTGCAAAAAAAAAAATTGAATATTTTTTACAGTCCCAAGGAATGATTCCATCCAGGAAGCAAGCAGCTCTTCATCATCAGCGCCATCTCCTAGGGACAGAGAATTGCAGATGATTTCAAGTAGATTTTCTCAGTGTAAGTATGTTCATTGCTGCACAGACAAGAGTGATATTGAGATCTACAGATGAAACACACAAACTTTCCCTTTCAAAAATAATTTGAAAACCAGCTGTTGAATTGATATTTCAAACTATTTTTTTTTCTGGAACAAGGTAATTTATATTCCCTCGAAGAGCGCAGCTTTTTTTTTTTTTTTTTTTGCTTTCTTTAGAAATAACGCTATATAGTATCTATTAAATAAATGTACTAGGGTTAATGAAACAAAATGAGGTTAGCTTTCAGAGCTCTTGGGCAATAATTTATTTGGTTATGTAACACATGGCAGTGGCAGGTTTTTCAAAATTGTGTGGACTTTTATAACAATTTTTTTTCTGTGCTGGAGAAATATCAGATGGGTATCTTGAGAACGTACCCTTTTCTAATCTAGAATCATTCCCAGAACTATCACCCTATAGACTTGGACAAATGTATTGGTTCAACCTCCACTTTTTCCCATGAAACTGACACCTGTAAATGGCATCCCTTATCCGTTATTCCATAGTCCATGGCAATATTTCTCTCCCTTAGCAACTTTAAGATATGTGGACTTCAACTCCCAGAATTCTGCAACCAGCATGAGTTGAAGTCCGTGTATGTTAAACACTGGTCTGCAGAGCAGGCTCTTGATATATGACTTCACGTAGTCTTGTAAATTATAAAACAAATGAAAATGGTATGGACAACTAACAATACCGTTAACCCAGCCATGTATTCAGTGTTTTATTCCTTATTGATTCTCATTCTACTTATGTATTTATTTATTTTACTGAAAACAAAACCACAGTATTCCGACTAATGCTCTGTTTCTTTTAATATACTGACACAAATGAATGCTTTGTCTGCTACATCCTTTAATAATCCTAATTGTAATCCAAAAGCATATCTCTCCCCCGCCTCATCAGATCAAAAGGGAAAACTTAAACCTTAATGAATTACCAAAGAAGACCTAGGCAATGCCCCCCCCCAGCAAAATATTCAACTCAGTGGTGTGGGGAGCCATGGAGATGATCTTAGAAAAACTATTCAGAAGTCACTAAGACAGCAGATCCAGAAGCAAGTGTTGCACCCAGGGAGTTAGGAAGCACTACAGGTAGTCCTCGATTTACGGCCACAATTGAGTCCAAAATTTCTGTTACTAAATAAGATAGCAATAATTTTTCCCCATTTTATGACATTTCTTGCCAGTCGTTAAGTGAATCACTGCTGTTAGTTAAGTTAGTAACACGGTTGTTAAGTGAATCTGGCTTTTCCCATTGATTTTGCTTGTCAGAAGGTCTCAAAAGGGGATCATGTGACCCTGGGACACTGCAAATGTCATAAATATGAGTCAGTTGCCCAAGGGTCTGAATTTTGATCATATGATGATGGGCATGCTGCAATGATTGTAAGTGTGGTCGTAAGTCATTTTTTTCAGTGCCGTTGTAACTTGGTCACTAAATGAACTGCTGTAAATCAAGGACTACCTATAGTCTTCCTATGGAGTCAGTTTCCTGATCTGGTCTTCCCTATACGGCTGACATCAGTCCTATGGAAGTGGGGAGTATTAGACTAAGACTAGTTCTTCCTGACTCCCTGGGGATATGAGAGAAGGATGGGAAAACACAAGCAAGACTTGCACCTGGCTTCTAGAGTTTTAATGATGTCTGGATTATTCCTTCAGGGTCATCCCCATGGCACCCTACACAATGCCCATGGAGACTGGGTAATTTGGGAAGCTGAAGTCCACACATTTTGAAAGACCTCGAGTTAGGAAAGACTAGAATGTTTGTTAAGTACCATTCACATCTTCTAATGCCCATAAGAGTCGTGGTGGCGCAGTGGTTAGAATGCAGTATTGCACGCTACTTCTGCTGACTGCCAGCTGACTGCAATTTGGCAGTTCAAATCTCACCAAGCTCAAGGTTGACTCAGCCTTCCATCCTTCCAAGGTTGGTAAAATGAGGATCGAGATTGTTAGGGGCCATATGCTGACTCTGTAAACTGCTTAGAGAAGGCTGTAAAGTACTGTGAAGTGGTATATGAGACTAAGTGCTATGTTATTTTCTCAAGAAAAAAATAAAAAATGCAAATGCGCCAACAGGGATAATTAAATATATACCAAGCTATTCACAAAACTTGTGTTTGATATAACAGTCGTGCTTCACCAGCATGTTTATATATCCAATATGATCAGGCAGTTTTAATCTCCTATAAACTAGTTGAATGTATGTTGGGTTATTAATTTACAGTATGTACTTGGCCCAATTAGGTGAATGAATCAATCAACCAATAAATGAATAAATTTCAACTCACTGGTCAAAGTAAGCTGCATTATCCAGACTCATTGGCAATTAAGACAAAAAGGTTGCAGGTAGAGAAGATGGGTTTTGAACTGTGAACATATCTCCTTGATTTAAGGCTCCTAGAGATCTGTATGTTTTTAATTTTACTTCACTTAGGGATGTCTATCGTTACATTTGATGATGAAAGAGTTGGTTGTAGTCTTGAACTCACAGGCAATAAAAGGAAAGTGAGAGTGTCTTGTGGTCGCAAAGAATATGGACGTTCCACGAAGAGATTCCGCAACAGTCAGGTGCTGGGTTCTCCGGGTTTCTCTGAAGGCTGCCATTACTGGGAAATAAACACCAAGGAATCTTCTCAATGGGCCATTGGTGTTGCCAGTGGGGACATTGGCAGAAGCGACCGACTAGGGAGAAATGAATTATCCTGGTGCATAGAATGCAATGGGCAACGTATCTCAGCATGGCACAACAGTCAAGAAACCAACATTGACGAAGATAGGCCTTTGCGGGTTGGAGTTTTCCTTGACTTTCCAACAAAAAGTTTGTCTTTTTATTCTCTCACTGATAAAGAAACGTGCTTACATAAGTTTGAAATCAATGCAGCAAATCCAGTTTACCCTGCTTTTTGGATTTATGGTTTAAAAGTTGGTGAGAGTTTAACTATAAATGATATTAATAGGAATTAACTTTACGCCACAATTGTATATTGTCTTAATAAGTATTTGCCCTCTAAAGACTCTTTAAGATTCTGATGTTTTGCTGTTTGAATTATGAAGTGCGTCATCTTTTCCTGCTTTCTGAATGGAAATGAGTCTTACACAGGGTGAGCATGTTGGAAGCTTGCACTGTCATTGGATGGAGGTTAGAAGATGCACAGTTTCAAAAGAAGGTTTGCCATGCATAAATATTGTCATCTATCATAATCCCTGCATAGCCAGTTACAGATTGCCCTTGACATACAATAGTTGGTTCAGCATCCATTCGAAGTTATGGCAGTGCTGAGCAGAGGATTTATGACTAGTGCCTAAAGTTTTTTATTTTTATTTTTATTTATTTAATTTGTATACCGCCCTACTCCCGAAGGACTCAGGGCGGTGAACAGCCAAGCAATAAGATACATAAATACAAAAATTTAAAAAACCAGTTAAAATCGAATTAAATCATTTTTTGGCCCAGACAAATTAAAACACCCCAATAATTTAAGAACAGATTTAAAATTTATGTATTAAAAGAGAGAGGAGATTAGGCCAAGCCTGCTTGATGGAATAAAAGAGTCTTCACAGCGCGGCGGAAGGTGCGCAGATCCGGGATCCTCCGTATCTCTGGGGGGAGCTCATTCCAGACGGTAGGTGCCCCCACAGAGAAGGCTCTCCCCCTAGGGGTCGCCAGCCGACATTGTTTGGCTGACGGCACCCGGAGGAGTCCCTCTCTATGAGAGCATACTGGCCGGTGGGAGGCTATTGGTGGTAGTAGGCGGTCCCGTAAATAACCAGGTCCTAAGCCATGGAGCGCTTTAAAGGTGGTAACCAAAACCTTGAAGCGCACCCGGAAGACCACCGGGAGCCAGTGCAGCTCGCGCAGGAGAGGTGTCACATGGGAGCGCCATGACGCTCCCATTACCACCCGCGCGGCCGCACTCTGCGCCAGTTGGAGCCTCCGGGTGCTCCTCAAGGGGAGCCCCATGTAGAGAGCATTAAAATAGTCCAGGCGGGAGGTGACGAGGGCATGAGTGACTGTGCGTAACGAGTCCCGATCCAGAAAGGGACGCAACTGACGAATCAGGCGAACCTGATAAAAAATCCTCCCGGTCACGGCCGTCAAGTGCTCTTCTAAAGACAGCCGTGAATCCAGGAGGACGCTCAAGTTGCGAGCCCTCTCCGTGGGGGCCAGTGATTCGCCCCCAATAGTCAGAGATGGCGTCAGCTGGCTATACCGGGACGCCGGCAGCCACAGCCACTCGGTCTTGGTAGGGTTGAGTCGAAGCCTGTTTCTCCCCATCCAGACCCGCACGGCCTCCAGGCACCGGGACATCACTTCAAGGGCATCGTTGGGGTGATCCGGGGTGGAGATGTACAGCTGGGTGTCATCAGCGTACTGATGGTACTCCACCCCGAAACCACGGATGATCTCGCCCAGCGGCTTCACATAAATGTTGAACAGGAGAGGCGAGAGGACCGACCCTTGCGGCACCCCACATATGAGGGGCCTCAGGGTCGACCTCTGTCCCCCTGTCAACACAGACTGCGACCGGTCAGAGAGAAAGGAGGAGAACCACCGTAACACAGTGCCTCCCACTCCTAACTCTTCCAACCGGTGCAGCATGATACCATGGTCGATGGTATCAAAAGCCGCTGAGAGATCTAACAGGACCAGGACAGAGGAGCACCCCCTGTCCCGAGCCCTCCAGAGATCATCAACCAACGCGACCAATGCCGTTTCCGTGCTGTACCCGGGCCTGAAACCCGACTGGAACGGATCCAGATACGTTGTTTCATCCAGGTGCTGGGGGAGCTGTTTCGCGACCACACTCTCAACAACCTTCGCCACAAAACGAAGGTTGGAGACCGGACGATAATTTACCAACATTGCCGGGTCCAGGGATGGCTTCTTGAGGAGAGGCCTCACCACCGCCTCTTTCAAGGCGGCAGGAAAGACACCCTCACCCAACGAAGCATTTATAATCCCCTGGAACCAGCCTCGTGTCACCTCCCGAGAAGCCAGCACTAACCAGGAGAGACACGGGTCCAATAAACAAGTGGTCGCGTTCAGTCTACCCAGAATCCTGTCCACATCCTCAGGGGTCACAGGATCAAACTCATCCCAGATAACATTCTCAAGACCTGCCCCTGTCCCTCCTCCTGAGACTACCCAGTCGGAGTCCAGATCTTCCCGAATCTGAGTGATTTTGTCATACAGATATTGAACAAAATCCTCGGCTCTACCCTCCAAGGGGTCCTCCCGCGCTTCCTGGTGGAGCAGGAAGCGGGTCACCCTGAACAGGGCGGCCGGGCGATTATCTGATGACGCAATAAGAGCAGCAAAATAGCTACATTTCGCTGCTTTTATCGCCACTAGGTAAGTCCTAATATGAGATCTTACCAGTGTCCGGTCCGATTCGGAACGGCTGGCCCTCCAACTGCTCTCTAGGCGTCTTTTCCGGCGCTTCAACTCCCTCAGCTCCTCGGTAAACCAAGGAGCTAAATGAGATCGGCGCCGGGTCAGAGGCCGCAAAGGCACGACCCGGTCCAGAGCTCCAGCGGCCGCCCTATCCCAGGCGGCCACTAGGTCTCCAGTCGGGGCGTGTGCCAGAGCCTCAGGGAATGGCCCAAGCTCCATCTGGAACCTGTCAGGTTCCATCAGGCGCCTGGGGCGGAACCATCTTACCGGCTCCGCCTCCCTGCGGCGGGGTGTAGCGGTTCGAAGGTCGAGACGAAGGAGAGAGTGATCCGACCATGACAAGGGCTCGGTGACTATATCCCCTATCTCAAGATCACTCAACCACTGTCCAGAGACAAAAACCAGATCCAGCGTGTTTCCCCCCGTGTGTGTAGGGCCATGAATTAACTGGGTCAGGTCCATAGCTGTCATGGAAGCCATGAACTCCCGAGCCACCTCAGACGCCTCGCCCACGGACGGTAGGTTGAAATCCCCCATGACCATAAGCCTGGGGGTATCAACCGCCACCGCGGCGATGACGTTGAGTAGCTCGGGCAGGGCTGCTGCCACGTGGCAGGGAGCCAGGTACGTGATCAGCAAACCCATCTGAACCCCATGGCCCCATCTCACGAGGAGGGATTCACAGCCGGTCGTCTGAGGGACAGTGGCCTCCCTCGGTTTCAGACCTTCCTTAATGATAACCGCTACCCCCCCGCCCCTCCCCTGTGACCTTGGCTGATGGAAGGCAAGGAAACCTGGTGGGCACATTTCAATGAGGGGAACCCCCCCCTCATGGCCCAACCAGGTCTCCGTAACACCTGCCAGGTCCGCACCCCCCTCCTGAATAAGATCACAAATGAGGCGGGCTTTATTTACTACGGACCTGGCATTGCACAGCATCAGCCGAAGGCCCGGGCCCTGAGGGTCTGTGCAACCTGGAAAACGGGTGGAGCTTTGGGGGCCGGAGCACGCCATCGCTCGTAAACAGCGAGTGCGAGCTCCCCTAACACGATATGGCCCCCTGCTCCCGCCATATCTACCCCTCCCACCCACAGTATTGATATTCAAAACACTATCTGGATGAGCTCTAACCCCCCCCTCGATCCCGGGCCCACCCCCCCCCACCGTGCTTCACAGCCAGACCCGACCCCGACCCTCCCCCTTGTGGGTTTTCCCCCAAACCCGCAACCTGAGTTCTAATTTGACCCTCCCCCTCCCTGAGACCCCTTAAAAATTTAACTAAAAAATTTGATAAAAAAACCCTCAACCCCCTAGTTTTCACATGCCACCTCTCTGGGTCCCAAAGCCCGTCATTGAGGTGGGCCCTCGATAACGATGAGGGCCACATCTGCGAGAGGGGGGAGTCTCGCAGCGCAAGCAAATCCGCAGCCGTGTACATCTCCCAGTGCAGCGATGGAGGAAGGGAGCTTAATCAGGGGTCTCAAGATGTATCATGGGGCCATATTGTTCAATGATGTACCATTGGTATCTTTACTGTCCTCCCACGACAGTAGGAGGGTTCTGACAATTTCAGCCAATGGGAACAGCGTCCAGTCCGCCCTCTCACGGCGGGACCCTCAAAGGGTCATAGATCGAAAAGTACTTCTCCCAGTGGCAAAAGTCCTGATGTGATAAAGAACCCCTCAGCAGTTGCATCAATTAACTGACCCATGGTCAGAGGGAGATAGTTTATCAGTCAGTCAATCCGTGAGTCATGCCAGGGGCAAAGACAGAAATCCTTGGTAAGGTCTTATGCTCCAGATCGTATCCTAGTCAGTCCAGATGAAAGAGAAAAAAGAAGGGAAGGGGAAGAGGGGAAAACGGGGTGGAGAAGGGGGCGGACTCCTTCAGTCAGGGCGGATAACAGGCCCTTTATTTGGCAAACAAAGTCCCAGGAGGGGGTAGGAGGAAGGAGGTTGGTATGCATACGAAGGGGAAAAACCCCTCCATTGCCCACCAACCCTATCTTCCTCAGATTCTTCCGGGATAACAAGCTGCTTCCGAGCTCCAGCCCCCATTAGATGCCATAGGGGGCCTCCAGGTCCTCTGCAGCCACCACAGTATCTTCCAAGAAGGAGTCTCTCATCTCCGGACTCAGCAGACCGCTTATGCCCTCTCCATTCTCAGTTATGGCCATAGCAGCACCCCTATGGTCATGTGATCATGATCTGGACATTTGGCAATCCATTTGAGCTAATGACCACTTGCCAAACATCCAGTGATCATGTGTTTGCTATATGCAACCTTCCCTGCCAGCTTCCCCACAAAGTCAATGGGGAAACCAGCAGGGAATGTTAGAAGTCATTGGGGCAAGTCTCCCCATTCATGCTTCTTCTCCACCTTGGCTGTGCTTGTGCCATTCGGGCCACTTGCACATCTCGATGAACCCTTCCTGACCTACGCTTCACCTCCATGCACTCTCTTTGACCCATATGGTACTTCTTGCACATCCATCCCAAGCTGTCTTGCACACCCGTGCATCCTTCCCAACCCATGTCGCACCACTATGCACCAATGGTGAAATTCAAATTTTTTTACTACCAGTTCTGTGGGCGTGGCTTGGTGGGCATGGTGTGGCTTGGTGCGCATGGCA